ACGGGGATGGGGAGCACGGCATATGGAATGAAGTTAGCATTAATATGATGGCTAGATGGAGGGCCGGGGAGGGAGGGAGCAATTGAGGGAATTGTTTTATGAACTATATAGATGTATGACCAATGTACTATATACTTGAAACTAATTTAAATAAATTTTAAAAATGTAACAAAGAATAATAGAATCTATTCTGAATTAATTTGTGTTTGTGATGTTGAGTAAAATGATAAATTCATCCTTTCACATGTGATAGACAGTTGTCTCAGCACCATTCGTTGAAGACTAGCCTTTTCCCAATTAAATTCCTAAGCATCTTTATCGAAAGTCAATTGACCATGATTATAAAGGTTTATTTCTGGACTCTCAATACGTTCCATTGATCTATATGCCTGTCTTTGTGCCAATGTCACAATGTAATGTTGTTGTTTTTTTTTTACATTAACTGCCCTGGCTAGAAACTCCAGTATAATGTTGAAGAGAAATGGCAAGAACAAATATGATAGCATTGCTTCCAATTTTAGGAGAAAAGCATTAAGTTTTTTACTATTAGATATGATATTAGCTGTAGACTTTTCGTAGATGACCTCAATCAGGTTGAAGATGTTCCTTTCTATTCCTATTTTGTTGAGAGTTTTTAACATGAATGAATGCTGAATTTTGTCCAGTATGTTTTCTACATCTATTAGTTGATAATGTGGTTTTTGTTCTATTAATATTATATATTACACAAATTTTCAAATGTTAAATAAACCTTGCATTCCTAAAATAAACACTTTTTGTTTTATATGTCGCTGGTTTCACTTTTCTAATATTTTGTGAAGAATTTTTGCCTCTATACTCATGAATAATATTGGTCTGTAGTTTTCTTTTATTATAATGTCTTTGTTTAGTTTTGATATTAGGTAATACTGGCCTTATAGAATGAGTTTGGAAGGGTCCCCTTCTCTTGTTTTTGAAAAAAATTAGAAACGATTGGTATTTTTTCTTTAAATAGTTGATGGAATTCCTCATCGAATGGGCTTTTCAGTTGGGAAGATTTTATATTACTAATTCAATTTCTTTACTTGTCATTGGTCTGTTCATATTTTTAAAATTTTATTTTTGAATTAGTTTTGGTAATTTAGTTTTATAGGAATTTTTCCATTTCATCTAAGTTGTCTAATACATTGGCATGAAGACATCTACAATTTCATTGTGAGTCTTTTAATTTCTGTAGGGTTGGTGATGATATCTCCTCTTTTATTCTTGGTTATTACAGTTTGTGTATTCTCTCTCTTTCTTGTGGCTAACTTGGTGAAAGCTTTGTCAATTTTCTTAATCTTTTAAATGAACCAACCTCTGTTTCACTGATTGTATCTATTATTGTTTTCTATTTCATTGATTTCCCCTCTAATCTTTATTATATCTCCCTTCTACTTGTTTTGTGTTTAATTTGTCTTCTAACTTCTCAAGGTGGAAGTTTAAGTTATTAATTTGAGAACTTTCTTCATTTTTTTAATATAGACACATAAATCAATAAACTTTTCTCTAACCAATGTTTTAACTGTTTCCCATAAATTTTAATATGTTGTATTTTGTTTTCATGTGTTTAAAATATTTTCTAATTTCCCTTGTGATTTCTTTTATGACCAATAGTTTATTTAAAAGTATGTTGTTAATTTCCTGATATTTGAGATTTTCTAAATTTCTTTTTATTGCAGTTTCTTATTTATTTAATTTTTCTGTTTGTTGGGGAATGTATTTTGTATGACTTAAATCTTTTCAAGTTGACTGAGCTTGTTTTGTTGACTAATACATGAACTCTCCTGGAGCATGTTGAAAAGAATATGTGCTCTGTTGTCATTGGGTGCAGTACTCTAGAAAGGTCAGTTAGGTCAATTTGATTGACAGTGTTATTCAAATTTCCTATATCTTTGCTGATTTTTGTCTAGTTGCTCTGTCAATTATTAAGAATGAAGTATTGAAGTTTCCAACTACTTTTAATTTTCTATTTCTTCTTTCAATTCTGTCACTTGTTTCAGGTATTTTAGGGTTCTGTTGGTAGGGCTCTACAATAAACTTATAATTGTTATATTTTCTAAGGAATCAATACTTTTATCATTATGAAATGTCCCTTTCTGTCTCTAGTAATATTTCTTGATTAAAATGTATTTTGTTTGATTTTAATATAGCCATTCCAGCTCCTTATGGTTATCATTTGATTGGTATATCTCTTTCATCCTTTTACTTTAACATATACAGTAGTCCGTCCTTATTCACCATTTAGCTTTCCATGCTACCCACAGTCAACTTCAGTCCAAAAATACTAAATGGTAAATTCCAGAAATAAATAATTTATAACTTTCAAATTGCACACCATTCTGAGTAGTGAGATGAAAAATTGCTCTGTCCTGCTTCATCTCACCTGGGTTGTGAATCATCCCTTTGTCCAATGAATCCATGCTGCATATACTACCTACCTGTTTGTCACTTAGTAGCTATTTCAATTATCAAATTGACTGTTACTACATTCTGTCTTCAAGTTTACTTATTATTTTTCTGTCTAAAATCTGCTGTTGAGTCTCTTTAATAAATTTTTAAGTTATTGTGCTTTTGAACTGCAGAATGTCCATTTGATTCTATTTTATAATTTCTCTTTGTTGACTTTTCTTTTTTGAATCATTGTTGTAATACTTTCATTCAATTCTTTAAACATGATTTTTAAAATGAGTCTGAACATATTTATAATTGCTGTTTTAAAGACTTTGTATGCTAAATCCAACATCAAGGCCTACCTAGAGAAAATTTTTATTTACTTCTCTTTTCTGTTAGTGTGGATTACACTTTTTCATTTTTTGGTATTTCTCATTTTTGTTGTTGAAAATGGGATATGTTAGATAATATGTTGAAGTAATTATGGATTCTGATTTTCCTCCATTGTGTTGTTGCTGTGTTTTGTTTTTGTTTACTAACTTGCCTGAACACATTTAGAGAATCTGTTAACCCACCACTGTGTGGCTACTGATGTCTCTGCTCAGTTTTTAAAAAATTGTTGTTTTTATTTTTAAGTTTGAATTCATACAGATCATGCTGTATTTGCATAGATTAATAGTCAATGAGTGGTCAGACATTGTGTTCAAACATCTCGAGCCAGTAAAGCTTCCACTCTCTGACAATAGATCTGTGTGTGTGTTAAGGAGCATATTTAAAGTTCAGGTAATTTTTAATTAAGTTCTGGCTTTGCTTACCTTCAGACTCTCTTGCCTTTCCTCTGCACATATACAACAGGCTTAGAGTCAGTCAATGATGTATGGAAAACTTGGGCCCTCTCCAGTTTTTCCTATGTAAGGACGTGGAGCGCTTATAAGGGCCCCCCGTGATGGTCTTATTTCTCAGATCTTCCTATTAAGTTTCTGGCTGATTTGCCAGTCTGCTGCAGCCCCCAGCCATGATTGCAACCTCAGGCTAACTGAGCTTCTGGTCTTCCTTTCTTTGTTTGTCACTTAGATTGCTACTATTACTCACGATGCTGCCAGATGTTGGAATCTTATCATGCAGTACTCCAAATCAAATGAACCCCTTCTTTCAGTGAACATTCTGATTTTCACCCATTTCTCCACCTAGGTAGAACTACCTTATGGACTGAGCAAGAGGCGGGGGATGGGAAGGTAGGAAAGAATATACATAGACACCTACTGTTTATACCTGAAGTTCAGTAACTTTTTATGAATAACCACTTCTCATTGTAATGTATACCTTTGGTGGGTTTTCAGAGTCCCAAGTAGATAGTTTTTGACAATTGCATCAAGTTTTATCATTGCTTTTTGGGGAGACAAACTGTTGAGCTATTTACTTCCCCATATTGGAAGTCTCCCCGCTGCACTGGTCATTTTTAATAGCTCTTCAGCTGAATCTGATGTGAGGCCAGAGTTGTCAATCACTGAGCCAGGGTATGATTACAGGAGGATGAATTTTGATTTCACTTCATTTGGTAAACATTGAACAATATCAGTCACTGGATATAGTGTGAAGATACAAAGATAACTGAGACCATCTTTCTTCTTCAGTATTCATAAGCAATGGGAAAGATAGAGAAGGAAAACATTAATGCAGTATAACTATAAGCATATAAGGATGGATGATGCTGGGTCTGGGAGTAGTGTCAGCAAAGAACAATGCCCATAAACATGCTGATGGGTTGTCAGAATATTTTCAGAAATTAATATAGTCATTAAGCAGATCCATACTTAATGTAAATATGAATAATACTTATCCTGGGGAACCTAGGACAATATCCAAAAATTATATGGTGATTACAAACATATCTTTAAGGAATGAGTATTTTAATTCATGTAAAGTTTAATGAGTTTTTTTGTGCTTTATTTTCAACTGGACTGTGATGAATTCATAACCTCAACTTATAGGAATAAATTTAGGAATAGCAAATCAACCTTAGAGTCATTATAGGCAATGTGACATGGTGTTGTTGTCTCCAGAATGTAGAGTTCATGAAGATATACGATTAGAGGTGTAGAAACAAATATTACCACTTCTTCTTTTTTTTAAACCAAATTTGGTCTTTAAAATTTTTCTATTGCTCGAACATTTCATAAAGTGAGAATATGTATACAGTAGTATGTTTATAGAACTTATAAATAAATAAATGTATTGGTGGCATGCTCCCAATATTTTGGGATCAAGAGTACTCAGTCACAAAAGTTGGAGACCACTAGTATTGGCGGAAAGAATACCAACCTAGATGAGTGCTAATCCTAGTTCAGCTACCAACTTGCTGTGTAAACATGGGCAAGTTACAAAGATGCTGTAAGTCCTCCCCATCTCTAAAATGAGGAGACTGGTATAAATATTTCTGAGATTTAGTTCTAAAGATAAAAGATAATTATAACATTAGAGGCCTAGAAATTTGGGGAATCTCCTACTAATTAAAATTTCTTTTTATAAGTATTTTGAATATTTTAAGTACATTTTTGTTATTGTCTAATATTAGGGTTTTGTTTCAGACTTACAGATTCCAGTCTGATGTTAGAAGATTATTCATCCAAGTTCAGCCCCCAAACAAAGAGAGCCAGGAAGAGCCTTCTCTCTGGGGAGGAGAAGGAAAATCTGCCAAGCGACTATATAGTGCCCATTTTCTCAGGACGGTGAGCATTCATTCTCTTTCCAGTTTTGATTATTAGAAAGTGAAGAGTAAATGTTGTCAGATAATAATAATAGCAGTTAACATTTATTGAGCACTTACTATGTTCTGGTTGAGAAATATCTGAAGAACCCTGAAATGCTACACTGAGGAAGATGTGTTTATTGTCAACATCTTTGCTATCACATAAGATGGCTACATGAGAAAAGAGAATGATTAGGAACTTAATTCCACTTATGTAAGTAGTTGAAATTAGGAGAGTATTAGCTTCTTGTGATTGAATACTGTATATAGTCACTATAGATAGAGTACAAAGAAAGGTTCAAAACTCTAAAATATTGGATGAACTCAAAAACAAAATCAGATGAGATGTTTCAGTAGATGGAAAATATCTTGGTTGCCAGTGTGGTTTTAATTAATATTCATTAGGAAGAAAAAATCTTAGATAGCATAGATTAAGTAAAAGAATTGCCTCATAATTTGAGTGCCTGGTTTATATTTGTTGAATATAAAATAGATTACTATTTATTTGAGGTAAACCTCAAACAAAATAATCACTAAATCACAAGTCCGTGTAATGCCAAATTTCTGTGTTTAGAATATAAACAGCTTTTGAATGATAATAGTACCTAAAGGAAACTTGTCCAAGACACCAAATTAAAGTTTAGTGGGAACTTTCTGAGCCTTCCCCTGTTGATTTTCCTTTGAATGGAGAATTATTAACAGAGCTAAGGTGATACTCAAAATGAAGTCATCCTCTCAGGGCAAATGCTATCAAGAAATTCAGTGGGCAATAATGTGGTTGTAATTTTTGTTTCTCTGTGTTTTCCTTTTTCTTCCCACTGCTCTCTGATGGCTCCTTTCTGAATTGTTTCAGAAGCTAATGTCATAATTGCTTTGAACTGAATTAGAAAGAAAGGGGATAAATATTCTATTTTTAGCTTTTTGATATCTTTGATTTTTCGATATTTGATTTTTTTAAAGCGAACTTTCCAGAGAAATGTGCTTATGTTACTAAGCATGCCTGTCCAGACTTAGCCTCTTCACAGTTAATTTAATATGCTCTCATATTAGTTATAGGAGATAGCTAGGGTAGAGGAGTGAAATATTTTATTTTCCGCTTCTTCCCCATTGTTTTAAAAAATCATTTAAAAACCATATTAACTTAACATTAACCTTCATGGCATGCCTCTCTACCTGTGTGGGCATGAAATGAAGCTTCTCACAGTCTTCTCCCCTGCCCTTTCTCTACCAAGCAATTTTTCTTCTTGCAGGCCAGTCTCAAGAAATAATAATTTATAAAATAAATTGTGATAAAAGAAAATGTGAACAAAAATTTATCTTCTAGGTTTTATTTTCAGTTTTCCTTTATTTTTTATATGGAGTCATCTCCTATATTCTATTACTATGTTGAAAATAATACTTAGTAATTATTGTGTTGACAGTATTAGCAACAAAAGAAGAAGATGGGAAAGAAACGAACATCTACTGAGTACCTATTGTTTTCTAGGAATTATACTAAGTGCTTTATATAAACTGTCTTGCAAAATTCTCAATACAGCCCTGGAGAGGTATTAGTATATCAGTTTTTGGAGAAGGAAATCAAGGCTCAGTGACTTGCTGCAAGTCACGTGGTTAATGCAATGTGCATACACTCTGCAATTACAGTTAATTGCAGCAAGTCACGTGGTTAATGCAATGTGCATACACTCTGCAATTTACATTTCTGGAAAATACCATTTCTTTGGATGACACTTGAAAATTCCACTTACGTTCCAATAATTTGGCTTGACTGTGTCAGCAACAGGTTTTGAGCTATGACCATCAGATATAGTCTGAGCATTGGAGAGGTTTTAAATTCATTTTAAATTGGTAGTAGTGTATTTTTGTCAGCATGCTAGCATCCTATTTTTGTACCCAAATTATAGTAGGGTTATCACTGACATGTACTTATATTTACTTAAAGGTGAACATCCTTTATGTTTTGGGTCAAAAAATTTTTTTAAGTGTGCTTGAATTCTCATGTGAAATACTTGGAGTTTTTTCAAGGTTAAGCTTATTCATAAATGGAAAAGGCAAGGATAGTGGGGCTGCATTCTGCCTTCTAGAGTGATATCAACATGTCTACTGTTAGAGGTAATGCAAACTTAAAATTCTCTTCCATACAGTTGTCTCAACTCAGGGCAAGACTAGCATTGAATTTAATCCATTATTATATATGTTATATCATATTACAAAGCTCATTTGAAATCTCTCTATTGTATATTAACCTCTATAGAGAATTTTAAGCATTTTCATGATGGTTTGTTTTGTATTCACTTTTTAATTCATTTACTCCCAATCGCATTAAAAAATAAATGAATAAATAAGTAAAATTATGACAGGACGCTAAGCTAAAAATTTTTCATTTTTTTCTCTCGCTAAATTATAGTGGATATATTACTGACTTCCTTAGTAGAGACTATTTTATTAATATTTGGAGAGGTAGAAATAAGCAAAAAGAAATTAAAACTTAATAAGTTTAGTAAGAAACAAAGTAGACTAGTCTTATATTCCATGAGAAGTTCCGAACCTGGGCAAATGTTGGATCCTATTCCTCAGCAAACTGCATAGGTTCAGGTATCAAGAACACGAAAACACAATGGAAATGTTTGCTTAAATTTGGAGGTAATTATTTTTATAAGAAAAGTAAATGTGCAATTATGTATTAAAGAGGTCTAAGGAGACTCAATTTTAAGGGAATCTTTAATAAAATCAATGTACTTCCTCACTAAAACATCTAATGGGGTCGACAACAAAGATATTGAAGGAGGTTAAAAATAATCCAAAGATTTTTAACAACATTATTAACTCACAACACAAATTCTATTATAAACTACTACATTAGGCACAGCACTTTTGGATGTTACCTCTCACTTGCCATTGTCACTAATTATGAATAAAAACAAGTCACTTTTATAAATATCTCCCCTTCAATTGTGAGTTCGGTCATTTCTTCTCATAAGAGCTGAGCAAGCACAAATGAAGATTGTCATATTAAATATGCACACATACATATATATCTACACATATATATGTACATATAACCTTTAATATCTTAGAGAGAAACCCAGTAGGCATAAGGATCTCATGTAAATTTAAAACTTGTTCCTACATGCAATATCTCTGGTCAATGCATTACATCAGCTGAGTTATATAATCCAGATCAAACACATAGTCATGTGTCAGAATCACAGGCACACAAACTGCATCTCGTTTTACAATATCATCTTTTCTGGGTAGAAGTAATAACTTAATCTTTTATTATAGATTCAATCATATTTGAACACACTAAGGAAACCAAGGAAATGACATTGGGCAAGTTACCTAACTTCTCTGAGCCTCGTTACCATATATCTAAAATTGAAATGATACAGTTTACCTCAGAAGGTTGTTGTGGGGGTAAATGAGATACTGTATGTGAAAAGCACTTGGCAAAGCACCAGGGCCATAATATGTATTATTATGGTTATTATCAGTATTTGTTAAGGTGAAGATTACTTCCACTGTGAAGAGATAGCTCTTGATTTACCAGGTTTTTCTATCAGGTTCTCTTTAGGCATAATACACAGTTTCTGAGGTCTGGTACTTTGAACTTAGTGAAATTAAGCCATCTTATCACTGCCATCCACAATACCCGTAATTTACCGTTACCCTATTTTAGCCAAGTGCATGTCAGTGGAATTACAGACACAGAAGAGGAAAGAATTAAAGAAGCTGCTGCTTATATAGCCCAGAGGAATCTCCTTGCTAGTGAGGAAGGAATCACAACATCCAAACAGTCCACGGTATCAAAACAGTCTTCATCCAGTCTCCACCAAGAGGAAGCTTTTGAGAAGAAGTCAAGGAAAGTTGCAATTCGAGAAAAGGCAGAACGCCTGTCACTGAGGAAAACAGTAAGAAAAGACAATTTAATATAACTTACAAAAGTGGAAATGCATGGAACTTTGCGTGTGTAGATATAGACTGATTTGTTTCAAATTAAGAAATATGTGATATTGTGGAGAAACAAAACTAAAGAAAACAAAGAGAAAGAAATCAAAATGTATAGGTCAAAGAAAGACAAATTTAATAGCTATGAACTCCATGAAATTTTAGGTTTCAAAAAAATTAAGGTTCTAAATAACCTTAAAAAGTCCGCCTTAGGGAAATAAAATATGTTGCTTAGGCTTAGAATGTTAAAAATTAAATGGCATATTGTTTTAAAAGGGGGCAAGAAATATGCATTTGATTTGAATACAGAAGTAAAGCTCCAAATAGAAAAATGATGATTTCGGTTTCTGCTTGTTATTTTAGTTGTGCAGGTTCCTTTGATTTTATCATATTGTGATTTTTTTTTTTTCAGTTAGAAGAAACCGAAGCATTTCATAAAAAGTTGAATGAAGATCATCTTCTCCATGCTCCTGAGTTTGTTATTAAACCTCGTTCTCACACTGTTTGGGAGAAAGAAAATGTAAAATTACACTGCTCTGTTTCTGGCTGGCCAGAACCTCGAGTCACATGGTATGTTATCTTTATAAAACTACTCATAGAATCAATTATGCAAAATTAATTTTATCTCTAGTGAAAACATTCAGCATTATAAATATGCAAGAGTCAGTGAAAGCATTTGCAAGTTTGTATAGATTTTTTAAATTGTGAAGAAAGGATACTGGATGAATATTTTATGTATGAGAAGAAAGAATAGTCTTGCATATGTTATGATATATTATGATACATTGTAATCCTATTATACAATGGGTCTTTATCTTATGTAAAGTGTTAACATTTTATCGACATACTTACATACAAAGAAAATATATGTCTATAACTGCTATGGACCATAAAAACTTGTTCTCATTAAATATAGGCATCATTTTGTGATCAGTAGCAATGATATGTTTCGTAAAGCCAAAAAAAAAAAAAAAGAGAGAGAGAGAATTTGATGGGAAATATTACTCGAAATGGGACCTGAAGGCATTTTCTTTCCATAAAGAATAAGTACCCCTTTTCTCCTTCCATTATATATCCTATTGCAATTGTCAATGATTTTGTGATCTCTAAACTCAGAATTTTCCTATCATATGTCATGAATGGCTGCCACAGAGAATAGAAGTATGAAAATAATTGAACCAACTCAAAAAGGTGTTTTCCACTTTATTCTCTGACACAAGTATTTTGCATGGTTTTCTTATCTCAGGAGTGGTGGTTAATGCACCTTATATTGTAGTATAAACCCTACATTGAATGACACTGTCACCCACGGAGTGACCACCTCCTTCTCCTTTCTGTCCCATTATCTCTAATGTTCAGACACCTGGCTAGCATGACTGTGGGTAGCTGAGAAGATAGATCCGTTATCTATATAAATAGTTATCTTTATGTAGCAGGTGGTGAGTTTTTAAGAATTCACCTATGATATAAATCTGCCTCTGACAATATTGGATTTACTTTATATTTTTCTTGTATGTAAACTCTTCTCAAGGTTCTTGAGTTTGAAAACCAAAGAATGAAACCCAAGCCAGCTATATATTATCAAAACAAATAATTTATAGTAAACAAAGATGAGAAATGTAGGAACATAGTTCAATGAAAATGAAGTTTTAAAAATCAATTTACAAGCTTTAAAGTATAAAAGTATGCTATAGTAATTTAGGAATCAACCCATCTTTTCCCCACCTTTCTCTGTGACTATGGAGTTGTAAATTTGGCCTCTTAAAGGGACATTTCCTTTTCAAAAACTGATTATTTCCTACCTGAAAAAAAAAAATCCTAACTTTCTTAAAATTAGGCCATCTAATTTTGATTGCCTAATTTTTAGCTCTAAGAAATATATTTGGTTAGTAAAAAACTCTCTTCTTTCATGAATTCAAATGTACACATAAATAAATAATCAGAGTCCTTAATCAGATAGCTATATTTATTATATACCATCCTATCACTGTTTTCCTGCTTTTGAAAAATTAGAGTTAAAGATGATTTTCAAAAGAATATAAAGTAATCTCTGAGAGATAAATATCAATTTCTTAAGCATTTATTTATTCTGTTAAATACACAGCAACTAGAATATAAACATGCTTATGTACCACTGATGGTATTATTTATTAAGCCAGAATGATGTGGCTCCACAAAGGCAGAACTCAAACTATGTTGGAGATTAAATTCCATACACTGTTATTTTGTTGGCTGATAAAAGAATAATTTAAAAACAAACAAAAAAGATAAAAATGCCCCAGAAAAATCTGAAATTACCAAATTGTCAACTTTTAGAATTCCAGTTAAATTGAAAAATAGAAATACTGTCAATTTTCAGTTATCCTCACTAATGGAGCTGAGCAGTAGTACAATTCTTTCCAAAATTTTCCTATCTAGCTTTGAAATATTTCTTTCCTCAACATGTGAATTTCATGTCCTAGGGGCTCCTTTTAAACAAAAATAAAGGCACAGAGACAGGACTTGTCTCAGGAATGTTGGAGAGGCTGTACATTTACTGGGACAGGCCTTCTCTAGATCCTACACCCTGTTTAGTGCTTGGAGAAGATGAGTCCATTTTTTATCTAAAATTCTCCCAGTAGGGACAGATCAGAGCATTTCACAGAAAGTCCAGTTGCTTTGCAAGTAAAGCAAAAAAGTAAATATTAAAACAAAAGAACTAGTGGACCACTAAGAAAATAGTTAACCATACTTGAGAAAGCAAGATTTGCCCCTAGATAAAGCTGAAGATTAGACAGCTAGTAGATAACTGAAAATTGGCTATGACAATAAACAAGGTGAGATCTAGATTTTGTGGGTTCACTAAGCTTATACAATTTGGTGGTCACTCTACAAAAAAGAACGTAAAGTTAGTATAAATTAGGCATAGAGCCTTGCAGAGACCCATGCTAGTGAGAGTCCCTGAAACTTCAGCTTCTCAGGCTCCAAGGCACATCCTTCTCTGGTAGTAAATTTTTATGTGGGATTAGTATACCTTCCTGGGTATGATGGCTTTTTAAAAATTATCACTAAATGAAGCTCTAATTTACTTTGAAATGCTAGTACAGAGTATGCAATCTTCAGAAAGAATCCTTCCCCTCAATGAGCAGGGAACCCACCACTCAAGCAGAAACCATGGTTGTTGGAGATTACTTTGCTGGCATTTATGCCTTTTTGGTAGCCAGCTGCAGCTTCCTGGACTGAAGACAAGTATGAAAGAAATACTTGAAAATAATCTCCGTGAAAGAAGGAGATAAATTACAGGAATAAGTTTATGATAATGCTTCGTGGAGTCCCGCTGCCTTCACTTGTAGCAGTTAGGTCCTTAGCCATGTCTTTCACAGGCATGTGTGCCTGGGGCCTGGCTCTCTTAGAGTCCTTTCCAGAGATGGTTCCAAGTTTCCACTAGGCACCCTCAGGTCATGGAAATCCCTGAGGTCTAACAAATGGTCTGAACATGCAGCAGCTGCTCTTCAGCTGATCCGACGTACTGACCAAATCCATCTAAATGGAATCTAGAGATTACCCACAGAGTGCTAAATGACAGAAGCACACATCACTCATCATGGCCAGGTGCAGAGACCCTGAGGAAAACCGTCCTATGCCCAACCTGCTCTGAAATCAGAAGGAAGCCTATTTAGGTCTTGGGTCCAGCAGAGAAGTTAGCTGCAGAAGATACTGCTGCACTGGTGGTGAAGCTGGCCATCTTAAGGGAGGGCTTTGTGAATATAGAAGGAAAACTATACATGTGATGAAAAACTGAAGTTGTTTTACTTAATAAGCTATATTTATATAATAGCTTGTATAATAAACTATATATTGGTTTAAAGGGAAGGAGAAAAAAATTATGTTTGTACAGTTGAGAAACTCCACATCCATGGGTTTTGCATCCACGGATTCAATCAAACGCAGATTGAAAATATTCGAGAGAAAAAACATCCCAGAAAGCAAAAATTCCCAAAAGCAAAACCTAAATTTGTCACATGCTGAGCACTATGCTGAATCCATGCAAATGAAGTGAGGTATAAGTACCCTGTCATAGCCTATATGCAAATATAGGTTATATGCAAATATTATACCATTTTGTATAGGGACTTGAGCATCTGTGGGTTTTGATATTCACAAAGGATCCTGGAACCAATCCCCTGTGGATACCGAGAGAGGACTATTTTTGTTTTACTTGCATGAACTCTGGAAAGAGACATAAGAATCTAAGGAAAGCAGTTAGCTGTGGGGAGGAGCTGGGTAGAAGGTAGACAAGTGTGAAGAAGGAGACTATTCTCTATGCTCCCTTATACTTTCTGGTTCTTGGACCATATAAATGTATTGCCAAGTCAATTTTAAAATTATATGAAATAGGAGAAAAGAGAAAAGTTCTTTTTAAAATAAGAGAATTGAGTTAATTTTACACACTTTTTTTTTTTTTAAAGAGCTAGATTTAATTGGATTTCCAGCCCTTAGTCAAGATCAATTTTGTCAATGAAAATCTGGATTGTGACAGCAAGGAGATTCACATAAACTCACTAAAGCAATGTGTTGGTATTAGAAAATGATAATCATTCATTCACTCACTCAACACCCATATTTTCAGATCTATACATGGATACTGGACTAGATCCTCAAGCGAGACACTTAAACTACATATTTGGAATTCCTCACATTGCTCCTAAAATTATTGGCAAATAGACATTTAAAGAAATTGTCATTAGGCTTGGTAATAATTAAAAAGCTGGGAATAAAATAGTATGAGAAATGTATCTTAGAAAGAGCCTGAAGATTTGGAAAAGTCTTATTCTATTTTTGCAAATTATGAGAATTTATAAATTCTATAATAGAATCATGTATTGAATTTGTTTACGAGATTAGTTATTCACATGTATTCAAATTTAGCAGTTGCTACCATATTATCTTAGGAAAACAATGTACATTTAAAATAGTTAAAAGTTATTTATAATTTATAGTTACTTCCCAACATAAGGATTTGGAGTTTTCTTTTAGATTTTTTCTTACTAATGTAATTCCAAAATCTTCCCAAATAAGATAGATTTCTCTCAGCTAATTGGTTTTTAAAGTGAGTAATTGCTATTTATTTAAAACATAAGATTAGATTTAACGCATCAATCACATTTTTAGGGGGATTCAACATGATAAAGATCATTTTGGCATACATTATTTGCTGATAGAAAAAATTAGAATGAAGCCTTTTTACTGGACCATGCTTTACACAAAGAGCTTTCATTGTTACTCTCATTATCAAAGTCAGCCCCACCTCCAAATAGACATTTATTCAGGGAACGAGTATTATTCTAGAAATACTTATAGTATAATGAAAGCTTATTAACCGACTGTTCATAAACTCTACATGAAAATGATAAAGAAAATGGTGTACATCTAAATATTCACAAGAATTTCAGAAACCTTTTGATGAATAATCCCAGGGTGTAAATTACTCTCCAAAATTAGCCAATGACTGGACAGTTTGGAATTTCACTTTCCAGAAATAACAAGCTGTGAAGCATATACAGAAAAGGCCAAAAATCCTTCTTTTCTTTTCAGACTTAATACCAAAGGCAGCCAATGTCAAGTGACCTGGAACCTGAATGCCTCGGTGAATTCCTTGGGGAAGATAATCAAATAGTTTCTTAACTTACTCCTTATCTGCTGCTTTAAAACAGGCATTTCTCACACTGATATCTAAAGTACCAGACGAAAGACTAGAACCTCCTCAAAGTAGGGGTGTGTGTGTGTGTGTGTGTGTGTGTGTGTGAGAGAGAGAGAGCGAGAGAGAGAGAGAGAGAATTTTAAACCAATTTCAAGTGCCAGAAGGTCGCATTAGAAAAGTCACTGGTGTTTAGCTGGAGGAAAGGCATTAAGATGCTAAGCTGAGTAGTACAGGAGAGCAAGGAAGGTAAAGCAACTTTGGGAGCTGCAAAATACTGTTTTAACTCCAACTTTATGGAGATAATTAACAACATTTTCGGTCGGAAGCCAAATGGGGTGTTATTCAATTGTTGAGTCAAGTAGCACATGCCCAGCTGTCCGTGTCATATATTTCTCTTCTTATGCTAAAAGGGACTACTGAAAACACCCCAGCACATGAAAACACTGAGCAAGAGGGAGCTTCTGAGTCAAGTGTAAAATTACCTAAGCCAATTCAATCAGGAGAACATGTCAATTAATATGTTCTACCCTGTCATTCGCTCCAAGCAAGGGGTGTTCGAAATTAGGAGCTATGAGCAGATTTATTTTTACAGGCCATCCCTGATCAGATAGTTCTGCTTGTCTAGAGCTCAGTGGTGAGACAGCTGTCTGAGGCTGCTTCTGGGCTGGCAGGAAACAGCTACCAATGTCCTCTGTGGGTCGGGTAGAAGTTTATACCACTATGCCTGCCATGCAGCAGTGATTCTTAAGTGAATCCAGCCTTCTCTTTTCAGATCTGAAAGAACCGAGACACAAAGAACCTCAAGTTACTTTCTTCCTATACACTTATTTTAAATTATCCAAACCATGAAGTACATGTTTGTCAGAACTCTGTTCTTTGGGCAAAATGTATGATGCTACAATTAATCTATTGCATTACACAATAATTCTGTTCAATCCAATTTAACAAACATTGAGTGCCTAATATGTGTCCATGACTCATGTTTCCTTGAGAGTAGGAATAGAAGCAAATATGAATCAGACATAATCCCTATCATTAAGGCACTTGCAGCTAAGTAGAAGAGACATATAATCAACCATAATTTAATAAATGTACTATCTTGCAATTTGAACTAATTAACACTGATATGGAACGGCAGGAACAATTAATATTGTGTGGGATTTCAGGGAGGAGTTTACTGAAGAAGTAGCATTTGATCTGAACCTTGAAAGATGAGTTGGGATTTTGCTAAATGGAGGAGAATGATATATTTTTAAAAGTATAGAAAATAAATATGTGTTTTAAGGACATAGAACATGTATGCACACACATGTGTGAGTATGCAGTTGGGGGAAGGGAGGAACCGACTGTGATTATCTCCTTTCTTTTTCTTCCTTTCCACCACTTTCCCTGATCCCAAACTTCCTTATAACCATTCCCAGAAGTCTAAATAAATAAAATGCAGCTAAATAGAGAACAATTGGGAAATGGAAACATTCCACGTTGTCAGGAGCCAGATTGCCTGGGTTGAAATCCCAGCTCTGCTATTCCTAGCTGTGTGAGCTGGAACAAATTACTTAATCTCTCCAGCCTTGGTTTCTTCAACTGAAAATTATGTTAAAAATAGTTCTGCTTCATGTGGTTGTTGTGAGGTTCGAATTTACTAATCTATTCATAAAGCACTTAGAACCTTGCCTGGCTTGTTGTAAATGCTCTGTATTAGTTATGGTTATTAGTGTTATTTGTGGTATCTGTGCACACGAAGTGGGGTATCTGAAAGATAAACAAGTAAAATCCATCTCCTCTTTTGGGCAGAAAATGGCTTACACAGGAGAGCCCGGTTTGGCACCATAGCCACTGGCTATTGAGACCATAAGGACATGGCAAAGAATCAAGGTGCCATTTGTAGACTTGGGATACAGTGTCTCTGGAAAGGACCCTTCCAGTACCCTCCCTTTGAGGCCTGAGAGGCTTAACCAAGGATGAGACAGTCAGAAAAAGGAAACCTTTCAGCTTTTATTTGTCAGAAATTTTCTTTCATGATTAATATTTTAAGTTCTTCCAAGCCAAGAGCCATGCTTGCTTATGATGGAATAAAACAAATATAATGAGTTTTCAGTATAATGACATTGCTTTTTAACCATATGCAAGAATGTTCGTAGGAGGAGTGTTATGCTGTCATCCTACATAGGCAGCCAACAATAAAACTCCTAACACAAAGGTTTCCCCTCTGTCGTGTCAACAATGGTCAAATTTTTTTTCTTTTTTGGATCTTTTGTTGAAGCATAATTCACATAAAAAGTGCATATTATATATAAATGCACAGCTTTGATGAATTTCTGTATATTGCACATACCCATGTAACCAACACCCAAATCAAAAAACCAGACATTATCAGCAGCCAAGATGTCTCCTTCATGTCCCCTCTTCAACCTCCTCCCCACTCTCCAGGGGGAAATCACTTTCCTGACTTCTAGCAGCATGAATTGATCTTTTCTGGATTTGTACTTTGTATAAAGCAATCATTATACTATGTAGTCTTTTGAGTCTGGCTCTTTCACTCAACATTATGTATGCAAGATTCAATCATATTGTTGTGAACAGTCAGCTTAAATGTAATTTTTATGATGGAGAGGAAAGCAAGTACACTGAGAAGTTTCACCGTATTTTTAGTGCATTTTATTTAACCTACTGTAGATTGTATTTACTGAGCCAACGCTGCTGCCGACCTCAGTGCCATGTTTACAGGTGTTCCTTCAGGAAGAAGAATTGTGTGTGGGTACATGTGTGCATGCGTGTGTGTGCACTTTTAATCGTGAAGCTATTTACACTTCAACTTACTGCACTTTGTTTCCATTGTCTCATAGGTATAAAAACCAAGTGCCAATAAACGTCCATGCAAACCCCGGGAAATATATTATTCAAAGTCGATATGGACTGCACACACTGGAAATTAACACGTAAGAGGACATCAGGGTCCGTGTGTGTTGCCCGACAATTTCTCAGGGAGACACCTCACTGCTCTGGTCCATAGCTGCTCTCCTCCCCTGTTCCCGACGACGCAGCATGATCTCAATGGGGATGTGCACATGCATCACTTCTCTTGGTGCACACCTGAGAGTGATATGCGTGACTCATTCTTACCAAGCCCAGGTTACCTCCCAAAGTGATCTTCTGTCTGAGTTTCCTCAAAGATGATGAGAAAAAATTAATTTTTTATTTATCCCTTTCTTAGACATTAGTAAAAACTAAGTTATATAAATAGACATTTATACTCGGTTATCCTTTCAGAGTTCCAAATCAACATCGTCATCATACTCTTTTGTCATTAATCAGTAAAGGATATGGAAGTTGGGGTGGGTGGCATTGAATGTAAGCTGGACTAGAAGAGATGAACTGTGGGAAACAATGCACCCACCCTGTCAACCTGTAGGTGGAGGCAATATGGACATTGGGGTGTCTTTAAAGCAAAATTCAAAGTAAAATTTGAAAGCAGATTGCCTGCGTGCACGGCACTCAGTAAAATGCTTCTGATACACCTGGCTGCCCTGTGCCAGGCCTGCTCGTCCACATGCCTGGTCCAGTGAACTGGTCCTAGGATTAAATTTAAGTCTAGAATTAAATCTGGACACATGTCATTTATGACTCCTCAATCGTGAGGGTGATTGACAGTGGGGTTGGGTGGGTGCTACCTGTACTCAGTGACCCTGCATAGGCAAAGAGCACCCATACTTTCTAGATATTTTCTACAGTTTACAAGTAAGACTGTACTCTACCCCACCCCTACGTTTCCTGTTTCTCATGCTTTTTCTTCCTTCCCCAGACCTCAGCCAAAAAAGTTTGTTTTCTTTTGCGCATATGTCCATCATTAATATCACTTTATTAAAAAGATACTCAACAAGAAAAAAATTTGAAAGCAGAACCTACATCAAAATTCCCAAGTCCTCGAGGATTTATCACATCTCTTAAAAATGATATTAAAATCCAAGCCTAGTTATGTGGATACAAAAGTTAAACAAGCTCCTGCCATTTTTAGTTCTCATAAAACCATGACATGCTGAGATATCAAAGTAAAATTTACATCATTCTGATCTCAGGAGATTTATAGCCTTCTCTTCAGATCACAACAGCTGACACAAGTGATGCTGGGCTTCAAACAGAACCCTGGACGCTGGGATGTTCTCCAAGCTCTGACCCTGATCTGAAGTCACATCAATGCTGTCAGTCAATGGTTCTTCTGAGGCAACAGTGAGCTATGTTGTTGCTTGATAATTAAATAGTTATGAGAAAGACAACTGTATTGACCTTCCTGGAGTTCTATTGATGTCTGTAAAATTTCAACAAGAAATAAGTTTATATGAATGAAACTAAACTTAGAGGGACAATGAATAACATAGACACTGGAAATGATATGACACAAACAACCAGCTTTGAAATCTTAGCCTGTTCATCTCTCTGTGAGATCATTGTCTCCCTAACTCCATTATTAAAGATATCACAATTCCTGTATTATGACTCAGAGGAACTTCCAACTCTTGTGTCATGCCGTGGGCCAAAACCCCAAGTGTGGCCTGAACCGTAGTAGAATTCATTTATTTTTACTTTGAGGCTAGAACACAGAACCACACATTAGACTGACCTAGATCTGGTCTGTGGCTCAAGGAAGCCATGGAAGTCTACAAGGAGAGGCTTTTTCTTTCCCTCTTGTTGCCCTGTCACCCCCAGACTGAAACTCACCCTTGGGGAGGCCAGCAGGGAGACTGTGCCCCCAATTGATTATAATGCCATCATGCTGTAATTTATGTGCTTATCATTTTGTTGACATTTTTTTTTAGACATTATAAATTAACCCAGACTAGGATCACAGTGTACTATAGGTCTTCTACCATCCTGTACTGCTGGCCTGAAACTACTGTAAATCCCTTGGACCATGTAAAATCCCACAGGGAGCCAGATCAGAGAGAGCAGCTTCATCAAGAGTCCCATAGAACCACATGTCAGCCACTGATTTCCAGTGTGCCACGGTGGCAGAGATCTTTGAAAGAACAGCCAGCAATTACAAGGAGTATCACTGCAATATCCACTTATTTCTATACATTTTTTCAGATGTGATTTTGAAGACACCGCTCAGTACCGGGCCTCAGCAATGAATGTTAAAGGAGAGCTTTCAGCATATGCCTCGGTGGTGGTAAAGAGTAGGTTTGCTGAACTTGTTTTATTCCAAATGTGTTTTTAGAATAATTTATTCACATTGCTAAAAACAATTAAGAAGTAGGTCATGTGCATTTCTGTTTTCTTTTCTAGGATATAAAGGAGAGTTTGATGAGACTCGCTTCCATGCTGGGGCTTCCACCATGCCCCTCAGCTGTAAGTTTAAAAATATATTTACTAAATGTCATCTACATTTAAAATACAGCTTAATAAGCTATTCTATAATGCTGAAATAAATGCATAGTATATGTTGTAATATATGTTAATATGTATATATAATAGCTGTCTATAGTTAGTTTCATTTTTTTTAGATTCTTTGGTTACTGTTCTCTTTCTGAATATAATTGCTTTTCTTTGGTTTTATAAAAGCCCAGATGTAATGGGCTAAAAATGGCAAATGATTTTAAGTCTTTCTGCGTTAAACTGGGAAAGATCATTATACAAACCTGGACAGAGTGATTTAACCACTCACACACACACACACACACACACACACATTCACATGTATGTCACACACACACACACACACACACACACGCAAACACATTCACATGTATGTTTGGACTGTTTATAGTAGTCTTACTCATCCCTAAATGTATAGGTCAGCGTTACCTCCTGGAGAAACCCATGTCTAACCTCTACTGTTACCCCACTGCCACACCCACCCCACCCAGTCAGGGTTGGATGTCCCTAGTGAGGCCATGGCACCTCCATAAGAACATCTCTTACACTGGACACTGTTAACTGTTAAATGTCTATTTCTCCCACTGGCCCGTGAGCCACTTGAAGGCAAGGGTGGACCTTTTATCTCTAAATCCCAGCGCCTGACACAGAGTAGCTATTCAATATTGAATGAATAAATAAGTACATTCATTTATGAAGTGCAATTTAAAAGGATGTCTAAATGTGGTTAAATAGCAACCTATTAAAAATTCCAATTAGCGGTAATTTGTGTATTCGTGAACTTCAATTAGTTTATCTAAGTCAGAACTTCTTTTCATGGGAAGCAATAAAAGTAAAATCCTTATGGTTCTTCAAATAATTAGGTGCTTACAATGGTCAGACTGAAAAAGGTAGCCAAACCCTAACTTCTTATTTTCCAAACATTAAAAAAATAAGTGATAGTTTTGAAAATCATTGATGAAGATACTTTCTCATGGGTCAGTTTTTCATCTAACTGGTTAGTTTGATGTCTTTAGATGATCTACTTCATCAACTTCATGGAATAGCTCCAAATGTTAATATTTCAAGATATAACCATGGGTGTCAATCTCATGGGCAGGGGATAAAGAGGAGTGAGAGTGAGGGAGGAATACATCCCAAATCATATTGTTCTCATATCATTTTATTTATGTTAAGAGAATAGTTGGAAATTCTGAAACTACGACTTATCTTCCAGTGTCCCCAAGACTGGCCTATTTGATCATTCCACAATTTTCTGAAGGTATCCTGCTCATTCTCACTACCATATCATCATCCATGTTTCTCCTATTTTCCTCTTATCCATCAAGTCAAGGTCTGAAAGCCCGGCTTGACTACTTCTCTAACTCCAGTTGCATTCAGTCAGAGCCTTCTCTGGCCCCTGAATTGAGTGTAGTTGTTCCTAACACAGAAGACAGGGGCTTTTATTGATTCCTTCAACCAGTTTACTGGGCATCTAGTATGAGCTATGTACTAGTTTAGGTGCTTGGAATATGCTGGTAAATGTCATAAATAAATCTTCCTGCCCTTGGTTCTGTTCTAATAGTTAATGTATATTGATTGGTGTTACATAAACTATACTAAGACTTTTTTTTATATGTATTGATTCATTTAATGCACTCCCAAAGCTTATGAAATAAGCACCTTTTCCTCTGTGCTATGTAGATGGAGAAGCAGGTTAGAGTGGTTAAATCAAGGGACAAGACCACACATACTGGTAGAGTAGGGACTTGTAACATGGTCTTTCTAATTCTAAACCATATTCCAAACCAGGGGTTAGCAAACATTTCTGTAAAGGAGCAGGTTGTAAATACTTTAGGTTTTGTGGGCCACATGGTCTCTGTTGCAGCTACTCAACTCTGCCATTGTAACACAAAAGCAGCCATAGACAAGAGGTAAATGAATAAGATGGCTGTGTTCTAATAAATCCTTATTTATAAACATTGAAATTTGAATTTCCTGTCACTTTTCACATGTCACAAATTCTTAGTCTTCTTTCGATTTTTTCAATAATTAAAAAATTGAAACCATTCTTAATAGTACAAAATAGGAAGCAGTCTAGATTTAGCTCTAGATTTGACAACCCCTAAACCTCAGGCCTACTATAACCCTTATCTCTACTCCCTAAGGCAGCTTTGGAACCAGCCCAGCTTCTCAGTGAGCAAGGTCTGATCAAATTGTTTTGCTTTTTGATTTCAGTGTGACATTGTCATGTAGAAGTGGGGCAGATGGGACATACTTCATAGAGAACATTTCCCTGTTGGTTAGCGGTTGCCAGGCAACATGTAAATTTAAAGCAATACCACATAGTGGTTGAGAGCACAAGTTCTTGAAACAGCCTGCCAGTATAAATGTGGCTCTTGAGGTGGGGGGTGGGGTTGGTGAATGTGGGCAGTTGTTTAGCCTCCCTATGCTGCTGTTTCCTCATCTGTAGCAATAATAATGGTACCTGATAGGGTTATTATGAGGCTTAATTGAGTTAATAGTTATTAAACACTTGGAACAATACTTGGCACAGTTGAACCTAATGAATGTTAGCTTGCTTTTTCAAATTAATACTAAGGTCTTAGGAAGACAGATGAAATATGAAAGGGCCTAAGTCTTAAAGTTGGGCAGTTAGGAGTTTGAATTTCAAATTTACAAGATACCCTTAAAACCTTGGCATTAACTGTATATTTGTGAACATTTATATCTGCATCTGAAAGAGAGGAAAAGCTAATATCTATGCCACGGGGATTTTGCAAAGATTAGATGACATGTCGAATGTAGCATGCCTGGCATATAATAACCCACCAATAAATAGTCGTTATTTTCCCAAGCCCTTTCCTTTGAGAAAAGAGAAGATAAAACCTGGGAGAGTTTATAATACAGGCATTTACTCAATCTATAATTAAGACATTTCTAAGAAAAATGTTTTTAAAGTTACAATATTTTAAACTTTTTAATTTTCTCCCATTGACTTTTCTTATATATTTTTTTTACTCAGATCATTAAGGAAGTTAAAGCAACTTACTATATTTTTATGAGTAATTGATATGGCTATTTGTCCCAAGAGTACAAACAATAGAGTTTAAATGAACTTAGAATCTAAAATTAAAAGATGTATACGTATATTGCAGCTAACTATTTAAGTTTAAGCTAAAAGTGGTATTAATGTATATTTTATGTAAGGCATGAAATCTGACCTTCAAATCTTATTAGTTATAAATAAGCTTTTCTGACCAGTGAAGCAAGAATTTTCATACACAGAATTTCCATTTCACGTAATAATATGTCTTTTATAAGACTTAATTTTTGCCCAGATAAATCATTTGATCAGTCTTTGTTGTGACTGCTCTCTGCCTGTGCTCATTTAAATGCTTATGTATCTTTGATGAGAAAAAAATAAGTTACTGACGTTCGTTTTTGTTGTACCCAGTTGCCGTGACCCCATATGGTTATGCGTCCAAGTTTGAGATCCACTTTGATGACAAGTTTGATGTGTCCTTTGGGAGAGAGGGCGAGACGATGAGTCTAGGCTGCCGTGTAGTTATCACTCCTGAAATTAAACATTTCCAGCCAGAGATCCAGTGGTACAGAAATGGTGAGCCTTTATAATGAATTCTGACTTAGGTTCTTATTTGCAGAAAGTTGCAAACTGGACTTGGCACCAGAACATGAACATCCATAAGACTGCAGATCTATTCATCAGAGCTAGCAGAATCTAGACGTTGGATGGCATAACCTATACCTACTGGATGTTAAAAAAAGGTTTTTGTAAATAGTAGAACTCACATATATTTGTGAAATATATTTTTATCACCAAGTAATATATGGAAAGGATTAAGAAAATGTATTTTTGTTTATATAAGTTGGATATATCTTCATTTTGCAAGTTAATTTTATTTGGTAAAACAAAGTGAAATTCAGAGAAGTCCAATGGGACTATGGAGCACGCTCATTGTTCCCTGGGCAAGGTGAGCAGTGGGCAAGGTACTCACCAAGCAGTTAGTCTGAACTTCCCCTGTGCATGCAGGTACCCGGGGCAGTCTGAGGCACCATGAGATCCCGAAGCAGTGGCTGGGACCAGGACCTGGGCCCATGTTGAAGCCAGCATGGCAGCAGTGGCAGCAGCAGCAAAAGCACTAAGTGAACATGGCCCTAGAGAAGGGGAGGGGATCCATATGCAGGCAGCATGGGACCCACTGTAGGAGGCCAGCTTGCCTGTCCATCTCAAGAACTCACCTTTGTGGGATTTGCACAAATATTGACTTTCTGGCTTGAGTGCTGTGGCAGGAACTGCCAGCAATCAGACAGTAAACTGTCAGTAAAACATTACAATTAAAAGCTTGTATATAGACAATGTAATAAAGCACATAAAGCAGTTGTTAGAATTCGTCACGGTTTAGAACCTCTGTTTATGAAAACTGCCACATTTCAAAGCAACTATACTCAGGCTTAGAAATAGAAATTAAGTTTAAACATTTTTGCATTCAATGAAAAAGAACACTTTTTATATAAAACCTTGGATGAAACAATTATTAACAAGCAAGAGAATTTGAAAATTAATTTTTCCTCATAATTGAAGAGATAGTGATAGAATGCATAAACAGCTGTTTGAATTATACACAAATCATGAGGTCTTTTTCAGTTTCTTGTATGACTTCCACAAGTTACAGGACATGTAAGAGGAAACATTAAGATGCAATATGTAGATTTACATTTAAAATTAAATTCAGACTTACATGAAACCGATTTGTATGAAAAGTTAAATCTCCTTTAAAAAAATTTTCCTTAAGAATCATCAGCTCTAGAGTACTAAAATTTATATTTTAGTTTATTAGAAAGTTAACCCAATAGTAACTTTATACCATAACTATATAATACTATATAATATAAAATACGTAATACTTTAATTATCTGACACTCTTAACAGCTGCAGTAATAGCTACATCAGCAGAAAGATCCTTCTCAAAATAAAAATATTATCAAAACTAATTTGTGATCTTATGTTTGCAAAAAGTGACTGATGTTCCTTTCAATTATATCCATTTAAAATAAAGTTGATAAAAGTCTAAATTTGATCACCTAATAACTGAATCTGCAGAAAAGCAAGCCAGAAATATTCATTATCAATCAAGATATCACATTAATAAAGTCTTTTTTTATAAAATTATGACATGAAAATGTTATTTTTGCATTTTTGTATTATTTTTATTACTCTTTACAAGTAATAAGCTATTTTTAGAGGAAAAACCCTTATCCTTTAGTACTTATAACTGTAATTTTTCTCTCTGCTTTTTGAACAATGGGCCTTGCAATTTCATTTTGCACTGGGCCCTGCAGATTATCTGGTACTGGTCTCCTCACTTCTGGTCTAGTATTTTTACCAATATAAACATGGCAGAATGCCTCAACGCCCTAGAGACTTCCTCCAGTCTGAAAATTGTCAATATAGAAGGAGAGGAATAGAGAGAGAAAGAGAGGTAGCAGATGGGGAACAGAGGGAGGGAGAAACAGGGCTAGAGAGTGAGGGAGAGAGAGGGAGGGATGGAGGGGAGAGAGGAAGAAAGGAGTAATAGAGAAAAAGAATGGTTAATTTTGCTGACTCCCTCTCCCACTCAGGAGCACTTATTTCTTCATCAAAATGGGTACAAACACATTGGAGTGGAGATCGGGCAACACTGACATTTTCTCATCTCAACAAAGAAGATGAAGGCCTCTACACAATCCGTGTACGGATGGGAGAATATTATGAACAATATAGTGCTTACGTCTTTGTTCGAGGTAAGACCTAACAAAAAGCAGAACACCCAAGATTATTTAAAACACTGAGACCAAATCAATCTCTCCAGGCATGTTTTTTGTAATGATGAAAGATCCATTTGAAAATTCTTCCAGATTACATACCATAGGGATATTAACTTCTAGAAATACTACACCTGATGTGAAGAGGTTAATAACCCTAAAGACATTAACCCAAAGGTAAGCAAGTTCCAGACTATGTTTGTCACTAATGGCAGTACTTGTCTCATCTTCAGTGAGCCAACAGTGCAGTTCTCTATAGGTGTTCTAGTTGAGGTGCTAAATACTATTTAAAAAGCCATTTCAGTTTATGGAAACTGTAACGACAGAGTGATGTGTTGTTGGGGAACTTACTCTTTAATATCTATTTTTAAATATCCATTAGTATTTCATTCCAGGCCCCTTCTTTATAGCTTTAGCTTTAATGAGCTAGGAAACAAGGTGCTACAATTTAATCCTCAAGACAAACTACAATTGTTGATTTTAGGAGTCTTCCTTTTTTCAGAATATCTTGAATGGATCAGAGGGGTACAAGTAGGAAAGTTGTA